CTCAGGAAGTCCCCGGGGTGCCTTCTGCCATTGTCTTGTTTCTCCTTTCGCCTTTTTCCCTTTCCACCCCGAACCCCTCCTGCATCCCCCACCGCCTCCTCCCCCTTTTTTTTTGCCCCTTCCTCCCCCTAATTCCAACCCCTCAATCCCTGACACAACCCCAGGTTTTTTTTTTCCCTTTCCCCCCATGTTTATGCTCCAACTCTCTCCGGAGCTGCTCAGCCACTTCACAAACACGATTTAAAAAAAAAATAAATTAAATAAAACAGAGAAAAACTAAATAAAGCTCTAAAAGTTCCCAAATCCTTGATCCGCCACGGAGAAGAGGAGCTTTACTTGTTTGCTTTTAATCAGCTGACACAAACCCCGGGATGTGTTGAAAAATAATAACAGTAGAAATAAATCTTCCAGCGAGTCATAATAGAAATAAATCTTTCACCTAATCTTAATAGAAATAAATCTTTTAGCTAATCTTAATAGAAATAAAGCTCTCAGCTAATCTGTGGTGAGCTTGTGTCCATCCCGCTGCCCACACTGCTCCAGCCGTCCATCCCCTCTCCGGAGCTGCTCAGCCACTTCACAAACACGATTTAAAAAAAAAATAAATTAAATAAAACAGAGAAAAACTAAATAAAGCTCTAAAAGTTCCCAAATCCTTGATCCGCCACGGAGAAGAGGAGCTTTACTTGTTTGCTTTTAATCAGCTGACACAAACCCCGGGATGTGTTGAAAAATAATAACAGTAGAAATAAATCTTCCAGCGAGTCATAATAGAAATAAATCTTTCACCTAATCTTAATAGAAATAAATCTTTTAGCTAATCTTAATAGAAATAAAGCTCTCAGCTAATCTGTGGTGAGCTTGTGTCCATCCCGCTGCCCACACCATCCATCCCAAACATCCCCATCCATCCCCATCCATCCCAACCATCCCCATCCATCCCTGCTGGGGTCACTCAGAGTGGCCATCCCACAGGATCTGGACGAGGAATTTCCCTCCGGGTGGGCTTTTCCCACGCAGGGAGAGCAGAGCCCCCGTGCCCTCCTCGGACCGAGCCGCTCCCGGCGCAGGCTCCGGGCTCTGCCCCGTCCCCGTCACGTCCCCCGACCCCTCCGGGCTCAGCACTTTATAACCATTTCCCATTTCCAGTCTTAATCTTATAAGAATGAATTGAGAATGACCAGTGTAAATACACAGGTGCCACTGGGAGCAGAAAGCACTCTTTAATCTCGGATATGAAAACAATTCCCTGCTCCGCGCGCTGGCAATCAGCGAGTGCCATCAGCGCCGCGCTCTCCCCGGGAACACGAGAGCTTATAAATATGAATTAGTGCAGAGAAAATCTACTCTCTTACCTAAAGCTAAATGTTATCTGGGTCCCTTTCCAGCAGTGGCTGACATTTCCAGAGTGCTTTTAGTCACATCTGCGGGAAGACAACTCATTTCTTGTCTTAAAAAAAATAAAAAAATAAAAAGAGGGGGAGAAAGGGAAGAGGGAGGAAGTGGAGGAGGATGCAGGGAGATGATGGGAAAGAGGGAATGCTGGATGCCTGAACCCCCTCTGGAAAGAGGAGATGCTGGGTGGGCTCTGGGTTGGCTCCTGGGGATGAGGATGGAGCAGCTGGGGAAGCCAAAGCCCCAAGGAGGTGGCACAAGGTGGCTCTCAGGTGCCACCTGAGAGAGGCCCTGAAGTTTGGGTGCTCCTGGCTGGGGTGCTGAACAGCCCTGGGGTGGCTCAGAGTGCCTGCCACTTGCTGGGGTCCTGTTTGGGATGGGACACGAGGAGTGGGGTCCCCAGCTGTCCCCAGGAACAGCGACAGCATCCGGTGCCACAGGAACAGAGCTTCCCATGGGATTGGTGCCCACAGCCCTGGCACGGAGCCCCTGGGGTTGTCCTGGGTCAGGGGAGACTGGGAGGGGTCCCACAGGACCCTCGTGTGCCTCTTCCCAAAATCCTGGTGGCCCATGGCAGGGCAGGGCTGGAGCAGCACCTGCAGGGCCTGACCCCAGAGCAGGAATTGGTGCTGGGAACATCCCTGGGGACACCTGGAACATGGGAAGGGTCAGCACCCCCAGCCAAGGCCCTGCAGAGCTGGGGAAACTGAGGCACGGCGTGGGAGCTGTTCCTAAATCCTGGCTGAGGGGATCTCCTTGGAAAGAGAGGGGATGAGGGGCAGGGGGCCCCTGGGCGTCCCCAGCAGCAGGACCTGACCCAGCCTCGGGGTTTGGGATGCTCCAGCAGCATCCCGGCCTCCAGCACCTCTCCCAGCCCTCTCACCCTCAGCACCTCTCCCTCCTCTTTCACCCCTGGGATCTCCAGGGACCCCCAGAAGCGCTCCCCAAAGAAAAGCCCCCCAAAGCCCCCCGAGGGGCCGGCGATGGGGCAGGAGCCGCAAACCCCTCCCCGTGCCCGGCTGCCACGCCGCTCTCCCGCAAGCGCGGCTGCCAGGGAAGGCTCCAGAGCCCGGCCAGGCTCTAATGGGATGCTTAAGCCGCCTTTTAGGTTTTTAATGAGCGGATCCCGGCAGGAATGCTAAACACGGGCAGGTACAGCCCTGCCTCGCCGGCAGCCGCGCGTGTTCCCGTGTCCTTGTCTGGCTCAAGTGAGCTCTGACCTCATTTGCTTCGCGCCGTTCAATTAACGAGGCGAGCGGCGCTGGGGGGAAGGGGGGATGCCGGGGGGGGTCACCCCGTGTATTAATTTCCATTTTATGTTCCAAACAATTGAGCAGCACACGGCGGCAGCCGCTCCCTCGCGGGGCCGTTCTCAGACTCCGCTCTGCCCGCGCTGGGATTTGTCCCAGACCCCCAGCCCGGGGGGTTTGGGGGGACCGTGGGGACCCCGCTGCAGCCTCGCCATCCCGTTTTCCACCCAGGAAGGGCCGTTTGCAGGGTTTGGATAATGTCCCTCCATCTTGTGCTTCATCCGGAACGTCGATGGCTGCCAATGAGACAGAAATGATTGGGGAAAGGGCGAGAGAGGGAGAGAAATGTTTCCCGGGATGTTAAAATAGCCACTTCAGGCACCTAAATTTATGCTGCTCAGAAATGGATTCTTAGTCCGGGGTAATGAGAGAACAAAATAATTAATTCCTCTCCCGCAGACAAAAGGCTGGAGGAGCAGATCCAGCCCCAGCGTCCCACAAACCCGGCAGGGAACGGGACAATTCCCGCTGCCAGCAGCCGGATCTGCACCTTGGGAATGTGTCCTGGCCGGGGACAGCTGCTGCAGAGGGCACCCCCCACCTCAGCAGGGATTTTGGGGTGCTGGGGTCGGGGGCTGCCCCATTCCCATCCCCATTTCCTGCTGTCCAGGCTGATCCAGCGCCGTGCCCCATCCCGTGCCCCATCCCGTGCCCCATCCCGTGCCCACCCACGGGTGTCTGCGGGTGCCAGGGGGGGTTGGACCCCTCGTGAGGAGCCCAATGATGAGATTTCCAAAGGGAAGGAGCTGCCTCCCCTGTGCCAGCACAGCCCCCCACTCTTTGGGGATGAACGGGGGGATTGTGCTTGTTCGGGATGGAGTGATAAATATTAATTATGCAAAGCAGCCTCTCCAGCCCACCCTTGTCTCCACAACATTCCAGGACAGGGAGAGACGGAGGCAGAGTCAATTAATTCATGGAGCAGGTCACTCCCTGTACGAACATCCCTTTCAAAAGGGAGTTGCAACTGGAGGAGATCAAGCAGGGCTGAGTTTGCCTCCCTCAGATATGATAAAATATTCTAATAAATACTCGGGGAGCCCATGACAAGGAGAATGTTTTGTGCTGGTGAGACCTTCATGGCAGGGCCTTTTGGGGGGTCTCCTGTTTGTGCTGAGGGATTTGGGGGGTCCTGAAGCATCCTCAGGGCCTGTCTACCCCTCAGTCTCACCCGAGGGTCACTGTCCTGTGGGATGCTCTCCCTATTTCCAGTTCTTAAAAGAAAAACACAAAAATCTGCTGTTTCCTTGCCTTGGATGTTCAGGAGGGATTTCCTGCTCCCCTGGCTGTGGGGAACACAACACCCCACGGGCACCCCACAGCCTGGGTGGCCCCAGGCACAGGGACAACAGCACCCCAACCCTACCCCACTCCCACTCTGGTCCTGGCCCCACTCCAGCCTCATTCCTGTCCTTTTCCCAGACAAACCCCAGCCCTATCTTCACTCCCACCCCATTCCTGGAGCTATTCCATCCCCACTCCCATCCCATCCCTGGCCCCATCCCATCTCCTTCTCTATCCCACGTCCATTCTGATTCTGTTCCTGGCCCCAGTCCCAAACCAAGTTTCACCCCAGCCCATCCCCATCCCCATCCCCATCTCATCCCTGGCCCTGTCCCAACCCAACCCATCCCCACTCCCATCCCATTCCCAGTCCCTGCCCTATCTCATCCCATCTCCATTCCCTGTTCCGGGCCCCACCCCAATCCCAATCCCACCCTAAACCCACCCAAGCCTTGTCCCATCTCACCCCCACCTCCACTGCTCATCCCCCTCCTCCAGCCGGGCACCACCATTCCCAATGCCATTCCCAGCCTATTCCCATCATTCCCAGTGCCATTCCCACCATTCCAGTGCCATTACCAGAGCCAGTCCCAGTGCCATCGCCACCATCCCCAGTGCCATTCCCACCATCCCCAGTGTCATTCCTACTGCCGTTCCCACCATTCCCAGCCTATTCCCATCATTCCCAGTGCCATTCCCACCATCCCCAGTGCCATTCCCACCATTCCCAGTGCCATCCCCAGCGCCATTCCCACCATCCCCCGCCCACTCCCCCTCCAGTCCCGTAACTCCATCCCTCTCCAATCCCAACCTCAGCCCAGCCCCCTCCCATCTCCCCCCCGTTCCCATCCGGTGGGCGACGGCGTCACCGTGCGGCCGCTCCGGGCAGCGCCCGCGCCCCCTCCGCCCCGCGACCCCCGGCGCCGGCGGGGCCCGGACCCCCCGAGCGCCGTAGCCCCGGGGGGCGAGGGGTGCAGTGGCGGCGCCGGGCCGGGGGGTGGCACGGCCGAGCCGGGCGAGCGCGGCGGAGCCGGTGCTGCTGCCGGGGAGGCTCCCGGTGCTCCGCAGCCGCGGCCCCGCGTCCCCACCTTCCCCTCTCCCTGCTGCTCTCATCGCCGCCTCCCGGTGCTGCCCGGTGTCCCCCATCCCTGCCTCCTCCCATCCCGCCATCCCGGCAGCCCGGCATCCTCCGGTCCCTGCAGCGCTCCGCTGCCGAGCCCTCCTCCCATCGCCGCGTCCCTGCCTCCCTCCATCTTCCCATCCCTGCATCCTCCCAGCCCCGCCGGGCCCCCCGAGCAGCTGAGCCCCGGTCTGGGGAGCAGCGGGGGCCCCGCGGGCTCGGGACCCGCCGGGGATGAGGCAGCGCCGGGGGGGACGCGAGCGGCGCCGCAGGTAACGGTACGTGCCGAGCCACGACCCCACCCCAAAATTACCGGGGGCGTGCGGAGGGCGGGGGGGGTTCGGGGGGGCTGCAGGAATCGGGGTGCAAAGCAGCCCGAGGGTGCCCGGCCTGCCCACTCTGAGGACCCCAAAAAGGTGGGAATGGGGTGGGAAAAGGGGGAGGTGGAAAAAGCCGGGGGGGAAACATCCCGGAGCGGGGGGAATTATCTCGGGAAAAGCATCGTACGTGCCGGGTGGGAAGGGGATTTGTGGTTCCGTGGCGCTCGATAATCCCGAGCTGGTTTTTCCCGAGCCATCTGGGCACTGGGGGGGATTGGGTGGGGGTGACGCGGGGGGGCTGCGGCCATCCATGCCGGGGTCTCCCCTTGCCCGCAGCTGGAGGCAGCTCGCAGCCCCCAGCCCACCATGCCGTCCTCCAAGAGCGAGAGCGACTTCTGGATCGATGGATCCCACCGGGAGGCGGCACTGGAAGATTTCTACATCGTGGGCCCCGAGCTGGGACGGTACCGGGCGGGGAGAGCCAACGGGGAGGGGCAGGAGACCCCCGGGGGGTGGGAGAGGGTCCTGGAGGGGCAGGGTGGGGAGAGGGATGGAGGGAGGCAGGGGGGATGGAGGGATGTGAGGAGGGGTGAGGAATACGGAGGGGATGGATTGGGGGGGTGGAGGGATTTGGGGGAGGGGGATGAAGGGGAATGGGGGTGAAGGGATGCAGGAAAGGATGCAGGGAGGGATAGATAGGAAAGGATGGACGGATGTGGGAGGAATGGATGAGGAGGGATGGAAGAATGGAGGGATGCAGGAAGGGCTGGGCAAGCAGGAGAGAAGGATGGATGCAGAAGGGCTGTGGAAGGATGGATAGGGGCATGGATGGGGACAGAGCCTCCCCTCTGGCGCTTGGCCTGTGCTGTGATGCTGCAGCCAGGGTCTGGCAGTGCTCCCTGGGGGTTTGCAGGTGGGGCTGGGGGTCCCTGGGGCTGTGGAGATGGATATTCCTCATTCCATGGCAGTGGCATCGTGGGGAGACCCTTCACTCCTCTGAGCACCCCAAGGCTTTGGGGGTGGGCCATGAGGGTCCAGCCTGCAGCAGCCCCCTGCAAAGGCCTGGCAGTGCCAGCCTCCACAGAGCCTGCATTCCCAGCTCTGGATTTGGCTTGGAGAGCCCATCTGAGGGTGTGATCCCGGTGCCCCTCGGGCAGGGGGTGCCAGGAGTGCCAGGAGCCCGTGCTGGGAAGGTTGATGATCCCGTTTGGGGGGGCTCTGGGCTGTGCCAGGGGGAGGCAGCTCTGCCTCGGAGCCCTGGCTCAGAACAGGGGGATTTGGTGGCTCAGGCTGGGCCAGGCCCAGCTGCTCCGGGGTTTCCATCCTCAGAGAATCCTAAAAAGCAGCAGTTTTGGGGAAAGCAGGAATTGAAGGGTTTGTGTTAAGGTGTGGCCACATCAGCCCAGGGCTTGGCAGCTCTGCACAGAGGGATGTAGGACAGAAGGACAGGCCTGGAACCCCTGGAATCCATCCATCCATCATCCATCCACCATCCATCCATCCATCCATCCCTCCATCCATCCATCCATCATCCATCCCTCCATCCATCCCTCCATCCATCCATCCATCATCCATCCCTCCATCCATCCCTCCATCCATCCATCCATCATCCATCCCTCCATCCATCCCTCCATCCATCCATCCATCATCCATCCCTCCATCCATCCCTCCATCCATCCATCCATCATCCATCCCTCCATCCATCCCTCCATCCATCCATCCATCATCCATCCCTCCATCCATCCCTCCATCCATCCATCCATCATCCATCCCTCCATCCATCCCTCCATCCATCCATCCATCATCCATCCCTCCATCCATCCCTCCATCCATCCATCCATCATCCATCCCTCCATCCATCCCTCCATCCATCCATCCATCATCCATCCCTCCATCCATCCCTCCATCCATCCATCCATCATCCATCCCTCCATCCATCCCTCCATCCATCCATCCATCATCCATCCATCCCTCCATCCATCCAGTTTCAGCACCAGGCTTAAATCAAGCTGCTCTCAGTCCTGGAGCCATCCCGTGTTGGGATCTGGGTGGGATTTGGGCTGCTGGGAGCCCCCTCCCCACGCACAGCCCTCCCTCAGAGCCCCTCCTGGCCAGGCTGGACCCAGCTCCAGCCGGGAAGCCTCGGGGAGCAGGAGAGGGATGGAGGGAACTGCACAGGGATGTGGGACAGCGGGGAGGACCCAGCCCGGGGCTGCTCTCACACCAGCCACACATTCCAGCCTCCCAGCAAACCCCATCGCTCGACATTTTCCAGTTCATCTGGAAAGCAAATGCAATTATCTCCCGTCGCAGGCAGGGCTGATTGGGGATATTTATTTGAGGCCGGGGGCGAGGCGTGGCGAATTCCGGCAGCGCTGCCCTAATTGGGGACGCGTGAGGGGCAGCGCCAGGGGCACAGCGGGCACAGGAGCCACCCCGAGCCCTGCTAAACGCCGAGCCGAGCGCTCCTAAATGATCTCGTTAGCGCCGGGAATCAGGCTGGGGATTGTCCGTGCGGAAAAATGCAGAGGGAGGGCGAGAGGCGGCGGATCCTGGCTGGGATTCAGCTGCGGGGAGGGTCCTGCCCCGTGACCAGCCCGGCTGGGAAATTCCAAGGATAACCTCGTGGCTTCTCCCGCTGGAAGAGCGCTGTCGTGGCGGTCGCAGCGGCAGCGATGCAGTTTTGGGGTCAAATTGCAGCTTTTTGCCCTTTTTCCTGAGCCGGAGCAGGTGGTGGCCGCCCCTCCCAGCTGTGACAATCCGTTTCCAAATGGCTTTTTGTTTGTAAGCTGAAGTTTCGTGGAGAACGTTTGGCAAAAGGAAGGAATGTTTTGAAGCTGGGCGGGGTTGGGCTCCTGGATCCCGCAGCATCCCGGGCCGCGCTGGTACCCGGCGCTGCCGTTGCCATGGCAACGCCGTTCCCAACTCCAGCCGGATGAGTTGCAAAATCTCCTCCGGGTTTGAAGACAAATCCCTCTTTCAGGAGAGCCCCCGGGGCGTCGGTGGGCTCAGGGGAGGTTTTGGTGTGAAAGTCGGTGGTTTTGGGGTCTGATCTTGCCGGGCACAGCCTGAGCTCCGTCCCGGAAGGCGGCGGAGCCAAAGCTCGGTAAAACGCGGCCGATTCCTCGGGGGCAGGAATTAATCTGCCGGGCAGGGAGGTGGAATTGCAAAGGAGCCCCGGAAGGGCCGGGGGCGCGGGGCTGATCTCACCGTCCAGCGCTCAGGAAACGCGATTAACTCGAGCTGCGATCGCCGCCGGCTGCGGGGCGCGGTGGCCGCGGTCCCCGCGTCACCCGCGGCGGCTCCAGCTGGGAATGGGCTGGGACGGGGCCCCGGCCGTGTCGCTGCTGTCGCCGAGAGGCTGCGAGAGGGGACACGGCGGCTCCGTCCCGTCCTGAAAGCGGCTAAAGGATTTAAACTCCCTGTGGAATTCGGGTTTAATTAAAATAATCTTAGCCAGAAAAGCCGGGAAGGACGCGGGAGGGGTGCGGGAAGGGGATGTGGGATAGGGATGAAGGGGAGGGGAATTCAGGAATGGGGGGATGCAGGAGGAGGGGGATCCGTGAAAAGTGAGATCCATGAAGAGCAGGATCCACGCTGAGCTCCCACGGCCTGGCACTGCCAAAGGTGCTGCTGGGGGGCACAGGGAGAGCGGGACCCCCAGCTCTGTGCCAGCCTCACGTCCCCCCTCCCTCCAGGGGAGCCACCTCGGTGGTGTTCAGCTGCCAGGAGAAGGGCACGGGAGCTCCCTACGCTGCCAAGATCCTGAAGAAAACGGTGAGTGGGGCAGGAGAGGGGCTGGGGATGGGCAGGGGGAGCAGCAGGAGCTGGGGGGAGGGCTGGTGGTGTCCCCTCCCCTGCCCCTTGGCACCAGGATGGGTGAGGGGCTGGCACTGGGCATCGCTCCCACAATCTGGGGGTCCCACGTGGACAAAAGCTGGGATTTGGGGTGGGGGAGGGCTCTGGACAGCCATGGAAATGTTCTGGGGGTGATGGGGGGGGTCTCTGCGGGGTGGGGAGCCAGAGCCAGGCCTGGCAGCACAGGTGACACAAACTCTGCTTCCCAGATTGACAAAAAGATCGTGAGGACGGAGATCGGGGTGCTGCTGCGGCTCTCGCACCCCAACATCGTGAGTAGGAGCCTGGTGACACAGCTGCCACCTCCCTTTGGGCCGGGTCCACGGCTGCTGGGGGTGGCTTTGCCCTTAACTCAGCCTGCTGCTGAGGGAAGGGCTGGACTGTCCTTGTCCTCACCCTGTCTTGGTGCAGGGATGAAGGCAGCGCCCCATGGAAAACCTTCCTGCACCCCATGTCCCTTCCTGCACCCCCTGTCCCCTCCTGTCCCCCGTGTCCCCTCCCTGCCTCGCTGACAGCATCCAGGTGGTTCCCCTCTCCCTGCCACCTGACATTCCTGCTCCTTGCAGCTCCTTTGAGCTCTGATATCCAAGGCCAAGGACCCCCCCTGTCCTCCCCCTCCCACAGCCTGGCTTGAGATTCCCACCAGGCAATTTCCATGGAGGAGATCAAATGAATGCCAGGAAAATTGCCTGTCTGTAATGAATCCTGCCGGGGGAGATGAAAGGGGAGGCCGTGGGGCTGGGGCTGTGTCCTGCCTGCTCAGCACTCCCGGGATGACAGGAGTGGGGGCTGGAGCAGATCTAACCCAGCCAGGACCAGCAGAGCCCCCCTGCAATGCCAGGGGCTGGGGGGCTCCGTGCCCCCACCTCCCAAAAAAGGCTGGTCCCCACTGAATGGCTCCTGGGCTCAGCACTCCCGGGATGACAGGAGTGGGGCTGGAGCAGATCTAACCCAGCCAGGACCAGCAGAGCCCCCCTGCAATGCCAGGGGCTGGGGGGCTCCGTGCCCCCACCTCCCAAAAAAGGCTGGTCCCCACTGAATGGTTCCTCTGGAAAACTGCAAAAGGATCAGGGGGACACCTGAGTTAAGGAAATGAGATGGAAAAGGCACCTGGGAGCTGCTGCGGGGCTGAGGTTGGGACAGGCCCTGCTCCTCTTGGGATTGTGGTCACGACATCCCTGGGACATTGTCAGGACATCCCTGGGACATTGTCCTGCCATTTCCCAGGCTGCAGCATCCCTCAAACCCTGGGCACGGCTGCTCCCAGCCCATCCTCCTCTGGAGAAGCCCAAAAGTTTCATTCCAAGAGATGAAGCCAAGAGAAATCCCAAAGATCCCGAAAACAGAGATAAAGAGGACAAAGCACTGGGGACAGGTTGTCTCTAAGCCTCTCAGCCAGCTCGGCGTGGGCCCATTTTTGGGGTGTTTCAGTGTTTTTGGGGCAATTTGGTGCTTCAGCCTCTTCCACGGAGACATTTCCCCCATCCCAGGACGTCTGGGCAGACGCAGGGATGAGAGCCAGGATGGGAATCACACACTTGGAGCAGCCCAGGTGGACGGGAAGAGGCTCCTCTCTGATGTGTTATCAGGAACAGCACAGAAAATCCAATTTCCTCCCTCCCCTCTCCAGGCAGCAGCTCCTCAGAGCCACGGAGGAGGATCCAGCCTGTTGGAATATTTAAATCCCCGAGGTTTCCGTGGGGTTCTGCTCATCCCAGGCTCAAGTGATGTTTGAAGAGGAGCTGCTCTGCTCCCTTATTGACGCCGGCGCCGCTATCGTGCGGCACCGACCTCGGCAGCAGCTGATAATAGGATTGTAAACTTTTGAAGTTAATAGGAAAATTATAGTGCTCCGTGTATTATTATAATGCAATAAGCTGCCACATAGTGTCTCTCACCCCGCGGGGGATCACGGCTTGTCACCCAGCCTGGGAAGGGAATGATTAAAGCCCCATGAAATTCGCAGTGTCACAAAAGTCTTAAGAAGCATGAAATTCTTGGGTTTCCATTTTTGTAAAAAAAAAAAAAAAAATTGCATTTGGACGTCGCTTTAAGAGAGAATTGTTAATTCCAGATGGGCTGTGGAGGCACAAAGGGCTCGTGTGGGAGCCAAAGCACAAAAAGTCAGGAGGAAAACACGGGTTTGGTGCCTCTTCTGCTGCAGAACAGCCCAAGGGACTTTTCCAAAACCTGGATCCCAGAGTGGCCGTGACCTTGCAGGTGTGTCTGGCTCTCCCTCACCCCCTCCCAGGGGTGCAGGATCAGGATCCATCCCATGGGATGCAGCTCCCACACCACAGGGCTGGACGGAGGCTCCGAGGTGCCCATGGAGCTACAAAACTCCAATGCTCCCAAGGAGCTCCTCTAGAAACAAGCTGGGAGATGTGAAGAGGGTCAGGGCTCTGCACAGTCCCAGGTTCATCTTTAATCCCCGTCAAGTGAGCGAGGCTGCTGCAAAGAGTTCAAAAAACTCAGGTGAAAACAAATCAACAGTGGGAAAAACCAAACAAAGAGAGGAAGGAAATGTTTGCCCTGGAACAACCCTTTCCACTCTCCCTGGTGGCCAAAGTCTCCTCCCAGCACAGCCAGGATGCATTCCTGTATCCCATATCCCACATGCCACATCCTATATCCCATATCCCATATCTCACATCCCATATCTCACACCTCACATCCCTCATCCCAAATCCCATGTCTCATATCTCACATCCCACAACCCATATCCCACATCCCATATCTCATATCCCATATCCCACATCCCATAGCTCACATCCTTCATCCCATATCTCGTATCACACACCTCACATCCCTCATCCCACATCCCATGTCTCATATCTCACATCTTTCATCCCATATTCCATATCTCACATCCCATATCCCGCATCCCATATCTCACACCTTACATCCCTCATCTCGCATCCCACACTCCATATCCCATATCCCACACCCCACACTCCCTCCTGTCGCCCCTTCCAGATCAAGCTGAAGGAGATTTTCGAGACGCCCTCGGAGATCGCGCTGGTGCTGGAGCTGGTGACGGGGGGAGAGCTCTTTGACAGGTACAGAGGGGCCCTGGGGGTGGATCCCAGGAGGAGGAGGAGGATGGAGGGGGCTGAAGGCTCCGTGTGCCCGCAGGATCGTGGAGAGGGGGTTCTACAGCGAGCGGGACGCGGCGCACGTGGTCAAGCAGATCCTGGAGGCTGTTTCGGTAACGTGGCCCTGGGACAGCCCAGGGGGGCCTGGGGGGCACCGGGGGGGCTGCAGCCAAATATCCCTGGGGAGAGGGGCCCGGAGCTGCCCTGATCCCAAATATCCCTGGGGAGAGGGGCCCGGAGCTGCCCTGATCCCAAATATCCCTGGGGAGAGGGGCCCGGAGCTGCCCTGATCCCAAATATCCCTGGGGAGAGGGGCCCGGAGCTGCCCTGATCCCAAATATCCCTGGGGAGAGGGGCCCGGAGCTGCCCTGATCCCAAATATCCCTGGGGAGAGGGGCCCGGAGCTGCCCTGATCCCAAATATCCCTGGGGAGAGGGGCCCGGAGCTGCCCTGATCCCAAATATCCCTGGGGAGAGGGGCCTGGAGCTGCCCCCATCCCAAATATCCCAGGGGAGAGGGGCCCAGACCTGTCCCCATCCCAAATATCCCTGGGGAGAGGGGCCCGGAGCTGCCCCCATCCCAAACACCTCATTTGTCCCCTCGCCCTTGGCCTTCCAAAGGCAGCACTGGGAGAGGATGGATCTGCTCTTAGGGGGGATGGAGAGGAGGAGGGAGGAAGGAGGAAGGAGGAAGGAGGAAGGAGGAAGGAGGAAGGAGGAAGGTCAGGGCCGCTCTGCATCCCAGTTTCCATGGCAACAGGAGGGTTTAAAAACCAGGAACTCCCAGCTGGAATCGGCTCCACCACAGCGCTGGCGGGTCCCAGGGTGGTGCCAGGTCCCAAATGGCTGCTGCCACCTCCCAAATTCCGTCTGCGGCCGTTCCCTTCCTTTCCACGTCCCACTTTTCCTCTTTTCTGCAGTATTTGCACCAGAACGGGGTCGTGCACCGGGACCTGAAGCCCGAGAACCTGCTCTACGCAGACCTGTCCCCCGATGCCCCCCTCAAGATCGGTGGGTTGGGGGCGTGCCCGGGGGTCCTGGCACGGGAGGGGATCCCGGTGCCCGTCCCTGATGGCACTGCCACCCCCTTGTGTCCCCGCAAGGTGACTTCGGGCTCTCCAAGATCGTGGATGAGCAGGACACCATGAAAACCGTGTGTGGGACACCGGGGTACTGCGGTGAGCGCGGGGGGACGGGAGGGAGGGAGGGACGTCCTGGGGAGAGGGAAACCTGGAGGGAGGGACATTGTGGGGAGTGGAAATTGGGGTGAGAGGGACATTCTGAGGAGAGGAAAATTGGGGTGAGAAGGAGAGAGGGAGGGACATTGTGAGTAGAGGAAAACTGGGAGGAAGGGACATTTTGGGAAGAGGAAATTGGGGTGAGAGGGACATTTTCAGGAGAGGAAAATTGGGAGGGAGGGAGGGACATTCTGGGGAGAGGAAAATTGGGGTGAGAGGGACATTCCAGGGGGTTTTCTCTGCCTGAGGCCGGGCACAGCCTTTCTCCACATTTATCCATTTTTTTCTCCACATCTATCCTTTTCTTCCTCCATATTTATCCCCTTTCCTCCCCATTTATCCCCTTTCCTCCCCATTTCTCCCTTTTCTCCACACCTCCTGCTGCCCAGGGTGGTTTTCTGCACTGGAACCCCCCCATGGGTGCCTTTGACCCCCAGATTTTCCTTCCAGCCCCCGAGATCCTGCACGGGTGTCCCTATGGACCCGAGGTGGACATGTGGAGCGTGGGCGTCATCACCTACATCCTGTGAGTGTCACAGCCAGGGGACACAGCGCGGTGCCTTTGTCCCCTCTGGCCCTGCCACAGGGGGGTTGGATTTTCCAGAGTCCCCAGGACAAAGGAGGAATTGAGTGAATTTGACTCTATGTTTTTAGAAGGCTAATTTACTATTTTATATTATATTTTTATATTATTATTTTATATTACTTTAATATCATAATTTTGTATTATTTTAGTATTAATTTTGTATTATTGTACTATTTACTTTTATTATTATTATATTATATTATATTTATATTATACTTATATTTTTATTTATATCTATATCTATATCTATATCTATATCTATATCTATATATTTATATTTATATTTATATTTATATTTATATTTATATTTATATTTATATTTATATTATTTTATATTTATATTATTTTACATTCTATAAATAAATACTATACTAAAACTATACTAAAGAATGGAGAAAGGATACAGACAGAAGGCTTAAACAGAATGACAATGAAACCTTTTTCCAGAGCTGGCTGTGATTGGTCATTAAATAAAACCAATCCACATGAAATTAATCAAACAGTGACCTGTGGGTAAACAGCACTCCAAAGCAGCAAAGCACAGGAGAAGCACGCAGCCAATTCTTGGTTTCATTTCCCCTGAGGCTTCCCAGCTTCCCAGGACACAACTCCTGGATTTTTCAGGCTGTGACGGTGAGGGGGGCAGGCGGTGGCACCGTGTCCCGCGGCTGGCACCGTGTCCCACGGGTGGCACCGTGTCCCACGGGTGGCACCGTGTCCCACGGCTGGCACCGTGTCCCGCGGGTGGCACCGTGTCCCGCGGTGGCACCGTGTCCCGCGGTGGCACCGTGTCCCGCGGGTGGCACCCCTTCCCCCTTACTTTATTGTTATTTATTAATTTATTCATTTTTATTTTATACTTTATTTTATTTTACTTTATTTTACTTTATTTCACTGTATTTTGTTTTACTTCATTTCCTCTTCTCTTCTCCCTTTTATTTTTATTTATTAATTTATTCAGTTTTATTTATTTCTTCCACATGTTAATAATTTCTTTTATGATTTCATTTTCATCCCTTTATTTATTAATTACTTTATTTATAACATGGTGATTGTTTATTTTATGATTTCATTTTTATCCATTTATTTATTAATTTCTTTAATTATATTTATTTATCACATATTAGTATTGATTTATTTCTTTATGATTTTATGTTTATGTATTTATGGCAAGTTTTCATTTATTTATTACAAATTTTCATTTATTTATTTATCACTATTTGCATTATTGGTTTCACTTATTTTATGCTTTTATTTTTATCTATTTATTGCATTTGTTTATTTCTTTTCATTTATTAACCACATTTTGTTTTATTTCATGATTTTATTTTCACGTATTTACTACATATATTTAATTAAATTTATTTATTTCCCACACATTGCTATTAATTATTTATTTTTCCACGTGAATCCATTATTTATTTATTTATTATTATGTACTCTTGCTTTCTTTAATTTCCTTTATTTATTCCTTATTTTTTATGATTGATTTTATGATTAATTTTACTTCTTTCTTTCTTTCTCCCTTACTTTTATGATTGATTTTACGATTCATTATAACATACATTATATATTTATTATAATTATTTATTCCTTTACTTCGAAATGACAGAAACGTAGCGATTTTGGCGCTTTCAGGTGAGAAAATTGATCGTTTTGGACCCGCAGAAGAGGCTGACGGTTCAGCAGGCCCTGCAGCACCCCTGGGTCACCGGCGAGGCGGCGAAGCTCGCGCACATGGACAGCACGCAGAGGAAACTGCAGGAGTTCAACGCCAGGAGGAAGCTGAAGGTCGGGGGACCCTGGCCCACCGGGGACGTGTGGCAGCGAGGGGACAGCGGGGGACACGTGTCCCCAGCCACGGACTGCAAGGGCAGAACGCTGCCAGCACCCTCCTGGAGTCTGCAGCGGTGCCGGGGGATTTTTGGGGTGGATTTTAGCTCCAGGAGGCTGGGGTGGGGTGTTGGGGACAGCACAGGGAGGGGACAACTGTCCCCATCCATGGCCTGGAAGGACAGAACGCTGCCAGCACCGTCTTGGATCCTGAGGGACAGTTTGAGGGTTTTTGAGATGGATTTTAGGGAAAGGTTCCTCTCCCCAAGGGTGCTGGGCACTGAATTCCCTCAATCCCGGCCCTGAGGCCACCAGAGCTCCAGGAGGTTGGGGTGGGGTGTTGGGGACAGTAAAGGGAGAGGACAGCAAGGAACAAGTGTCCCCATCCATGGACTGGAAGGGCAGAACTCTGCCAGCACCATCTTGGAGTCTGCAGCAGTGCCGGGGGATTTTTGGGATGGATTTTAGCTCCAGGAGGCTGGGGTGGGGTGTTGGGGACCTCACAGGGAGGGGACAGCAAGGGACAAGTGTCTCCATCCATGGACTGGAAGGGCAGAACTCTGCCAGCACCATCTTGGAGTTTGCAGCGGTGCCAGGGGATTTTTGGGATGGATTTTAGGGAAAGGTTCCTCTCCCCAAGGGTGCTGGGCACTGAATTCCCTCAATCCCGGCCCTGAGGCCACCAGAGCTCCAGGAGGTTGGGGTGGGGTGTTGGGGACAGTAAAGGGAGAGGACAGCAAGGAACAAGTGTCCCCATCCATGGACTGGAAGGGCAGAACTCTGCCAGCACCATCTTGGAGTCTGCAGCAGTGCCGGGGGATTTTTGGGATGGATTTTAGCTCCAGGAGGCTGGGGTGGGGTGTTGGGGACCTCACAGGGAGGGGACAGCAAGGGACAAGTGTCTCCATCCATGGCCTGGAAGGGCAGAACACTGCCAGCACCATCTTGGAGTCTGCAGCGGTGCCAGGGGATTTTTGGGATGGATTTTAGGGAGAGGTTCCTCTCCCCAAGGGTGCTGGGTGCTGAATTCCCTCAATCCCAGTCCTGAGGCCGCCAGAGCTCCAGGAGGTTGGGGTGGGATGTTGGGGGTGGGATTGTTGGGATGTTATTGTTGGGGTGGGATTGTTGGGATATGATTGTTGGGGTGGGATTGTTGGGATATTATTGTTGGGATATTATTGTTGGGGTGGGATGCTGGGGGTGGGATTGTTGGGATGTTATTGTGGGAGTGGGATTGTTGGGAGTGGGATTGTGGGGGCAGGATTGTTGGTTTGGGATTCTTGGGGTGGGATTGTGGGGGTGAGATTGTTGGGATGTTATTGTTGGGATATTATTGCTGGTTTGGGGTTTGGGGGTAGGATTGTTGGGGCGGGACTGTCATGGCCTCCTGAGCCAGGCCAGGATCTAGGCCGAACACCCCACAATTCCCTAATTCTCTGCCTATCCCTCTCTCCCAGGCTGCCATGAAAGCCGTGGTGGCCTCCGGCCGCTTGGGCAACCACGGCCACCACGACTGCTCCCGCAGCGGCCGCGGCCAGGCCGGACCCCGGGGCCTGGCCCGGCCTGAGGGCACCGGCGGCCCCGAGGCCAGCGCAGGCCTGAGCGCCTTCCCGAGCGACCGCCCCGCCATGGCCCCGGGGGCCTTTCCCTGCAAAGGCAGCGAGTTGTCTTTAAGGGGTTCTTGTAAATAATCCTGAAGGGGTTTTTTTTTATTTTTCTGCCGTAGCTGTGGCATGTCCAGCGCTGTCACCAGCCCAGCTGTGGGGCTGCTGCTGTGTTAGGAGGGGTTTGAGGAGCTTTGACCCCAAATGTTCGATCCTCTCTGGAGAACATCCCGTGCTCATGCTTCCCTTGTCAGCCCGAGCCCTGGGCTGTTTTTTGGGGTGTGCTCCCCACCTTCAGCCTTGCTGAGGATCCCTGCTGGTGGTGGTGGGGTGGTCACGGACTGGGAATGCTGGTCCAGCCTCCCCTTGGCGTTCCAGGTCAGGACTGGCACCTTTCCAACACAGCAATTTGAATATTGTGAGATTTTGCCACGTAACTGCTGTTCCCTGAGGGAGGTCAGTGAGTTTATACATTTTCAATTTTTCTTTTTTAATGAAATCAGCAGACAAACTTCTTGAAAAGGATTTTTTTTTTTTAAAGGCAGGAAAGAAGATAACCATTTGCAGATTTTAACAGAGGGCAAGTAAGCAGACAGCAAAAGCCATATTGCATGTGGGAATTGCAGAGAGCTGGTGGGATCTGCCAGGGTTGAGCCCTAAGCAGCAACCACGACCTGCACCCTCACATTTTGGGCTTAGAACGGTGTGTTCAGGGTAAAACTCCCACCTGGAGGGGAATAAATTTGTACAGGAGGTTCACTCCCCCAGGATGGCGGCGCAGAATTGAGCAGCTGGGGCAGGAAGGGCAAAAAAACCCCAAAATTGGATGTTTTTCAGCAGTGACAGACCTGAGGGTGACAGAGCAGGGTCAGGGGGAGGAAAAATGCATTTTGGGTTGATCTCCAGCATGAACAGAAATCAAAATAACTCTGAGTCAGGATCCACCCCGGAGCTCAGTGGGGTTTGGGGAGCCAAAGGCAGAGAGAAATGGGGTGTTCAAGAGGGGTTTTATTGGGAGAAAAATCATGGCTTGGCCAGAGCTGCACTTTTTGAGTTTGAGTTGTGGAGAAACAGCTGCCCCGGGGGGAAAGGAAGCTGCTGGTCCCGTGGGACTCTGCAGCACAGGGAAATTCCCCTTTTTGAAGGCAGCGAGTTGTCTTTAAGGGGTTCTTGTAAATAATCCTGAAGGGAATTTCCCCTTTTTCTTTGCATTTTTGTCAGTTTTTCCCTCTCCTTTTTGTAACGCTGGGGCTGAGCCTTGCAGGGTGCTCAGCGTCCATCCCACCCTGCTGTCGTGCGTGGGACCTGAACTCCGCCTCGTTGTTTCCCAGCCAGGTTTTAAAGACTCTTTTCTATCCTTTGACACGAAATGCTGATTAAAGGACCAGGCTGGCACCCCCAGAGCCTGCAGAGCAACAGTTGCAGAATTCCCAGGAAAAACGGGAATTACACTTGACAAATCAATCACACAAAGTATCTCCAGCAGGAGACAGGAGGGGGCCTGCAAGAAAAACCACAACTGGAGTTTGTCTTTTATTATTCCACATTTAAAGACAGGAAAAATGCACTGCTGGGGGCGAGCCCGGGGAGGTGCATTTGGGTCTGCTGCTGTTTGAGGGATTATTTCAGTGTGGTAATTATTTCAGTTCTGGCAGCCAGGTGTTGATAAGCAAGCAGACAGTGAATAAAGCATCCAACCTCTGGGCTCCCTGGTCACTGTTTGCCTGGGAAAATTCAAGATTGCCGTGGGATGGGTTGTGTGATAAGATTTTACAAGTTTAATAGTAATGAAGTGGTTATTAAAATAGAAATATAATTAGAGTAATAATAATTTGAACAATTAGGATGAGGACAATACAAGACAATAAGAAACAAAGAGTAATGGAGGTCTGGGTATCTTTTTCTGGGCAAAATAAGCCCGAAAAAGGACCCACGTTAAGAGAAGATTAACCCTTAAAAGCAACAGCCTATTTCATATTTAAACACCTCATACATGGTGCATAAATTCCATTTAAACAAAGGATTCTTTCTGGTCAGCACCAACTTCTTCCTCTGCATCCTGACAGCATTTTCATGGCTGAGCAAGGCAGGAAGAAGTTATTTTATTCTGATAACGGGGCAATAAATTCTCCTTCTCTGAAAGATTTATTTGTCCTGTGGTTGCTATTTTTGCTTTAGACAAAAAATATTTTACATAGCATAGTTCCTATTTTAACATGATGTTATAACCTAAAACTTATATTATATCTACCACGCTACTTAAGAAAATTAATACAGCATCACTTTCTAACGCAACACATGTAATATTGATGTTAATATTTGCCAAATGCCAATCATAAAACACGCATTTTTCACCCAGGGACACTTTCCAGTGCGTCCCAGGCTGCTCCAAGCCCTGTCCTGCCTGGCCTTGGACACTTCCAGGGATCCAGGGGCAGCCGGGCTGCTCTGGGGATCCCGTTCCAGGAATTTGGATTCTGGGGATCCCGTTCCAGGAATCTGGATTTTGGGGATCCCATTCCGAGAATTTGGATTCTGGGGATCCCATTTCAAGAATTTGGGTTCTGGGGATCCCGTTCCAGGAATCTGGATTTTGGGGATCCCATTCCGAGAATTTGGATTCTGGGGATCCCATTTCAAGAATTTGGGTTCTGGGGATCCCGTTCCAGGAATCTGGATTTTGGGGATCCCATTCCGAGAATTTGGATTCTGGGGATTCTATTATAAGAATATGGATTCTGGGGATCCTATTACAGGAATTTGGATTCTGGGGATCCCATTTCAAGAATTTGGGTTCTGGGGATCCCGTTCCAGGAATTTGGGTTCTGGGGATCCCGTTCCAGGAATTTGGATTCTGGGGATCCCGTTCCAGGAATCTGGATTTTGGGGATCCCATTCCGAGAATTTGGATTCTGGGGATTCTATTATAAGAATATGGATTCTGGGGATCCTATTACAGGAATTTGGATTCTGGGGATCCCATTTCAAGAATTTGGATTTTGGGGATCCTATTCCATTCCAAGAATTTGGATTTTGGGGATCCTATTCCATTCCAAGAATTTGGATTTTGGGGATCCTATTCCATTCCAAGAATTTGGATTTTGGGGATCCTATTGCAGGAATTTGGATTTTGGGGATCCCATTCCAGGAATTTGGGTTCTGGGGATCCCGTTGCAGGAATGCGGATGGGATGAGCCTCGGACTGACCCTGCGGGCGCGGTGATGCCGCTCGGTGCCCGGTGTCCCCCGCCCACGGCCGCGCTCGCAGCTCCGTCCAGCCCGAACCGGCACATGACGTCACAGCTCCCGGCTATGACGTCACTCGCCCCGTTGCCATGCCGCACCCCGCCCGCCCTCCCAGACTGGGCGTGGCTTCCGCCCAACTAGCCAATAGAAGGCGGTGTGGGCGTGGCTAAGGCTGCGGCGTGCGCTCTGATTGGCTGAGCCTCGTGTTTTGGCCCCCGGCGGGGAGGGCGGGGCGCCAGGCGGCGCTCGCTGATTGGGCCGGGGGGGCGGTGCCGGGCCGCGCGCGCGGCGCATGCGCAGACCCTCATGTGGAGGGCGGCGGCGGCGCGCGCGGGTCGGCGTTGTCGGGAGCGCGCACGGTAACGGTGCCCCCCCCAACCCGGGTCTTAAAGCGGGGTCTGGGGGGGACATGAGGGTCTGGGGGCCATCACCGCCACCGGGGCTGTGTGTGGGAGTCCCGCCCGTCCTCTGAGCGGGCGAAGCGAGCGGCCCCGTCCCTCCCCTCGCTGAGGCGTTTTGGGGGGTCCCGTCCCTCCTCTCACCAGGGAAGGTTGGGTGGGGGCGACCCCCCTGAGGGGCCGGTATTGAGGAGTCCCGTTCTTCCCCTCGCTGAGGCGTTTTAGGGGGCCTGTCCCTCCCTTCACCAGGGAAGGTTGGGGAAGGGGGGCGACCCCTGTGAGGGGAGGGCATTGAGGGGTCCCGTCCCTGCCCTCGCTAGGGAAGGTTGTGGGGGCGACCCCTCTGAGGGGAGGGCATTGAGGGGTCCCGTTCTTCCCCTCACCGAGGCGTTTTAGGGTGTCCCGTCCCTCCCTTCACCAGGGAAGGTTGGGGGGGCGACCCCCCTGAGGGGCCGGTATTGAGGGGTCCCGTTCTTCCCCTCGCTGAGGCGTTTTAGGGCGTCCAGCTCCTCCCCTCACCAGGGAAGGTTGTGGGGGCGACCCCTGTGAGGGGAGGGCATTGAGGGGTCCCGTCCCTGCCCTCGCTAGGGAAGGTTGTGGGGGCGACCCCTCTGAGGGGAGGGCATTGAGGGGTCCCGTTCTTCCCCTCACCGAGGCGTTTTAGGGGGTCCCGTCCCTCCCTTCACCAGGGAAGGTTGGGGAAGGGGGGCGACCCCTCTGAGGGGCCGATATCGAGGGGTCCCGTCCCTCCCCTCAGCGGGCGCTTGGAGCGTTCCATCCCTCCCGGGGGGGGGTTTGGGGTCCCGTCCCTTATGGAGGGGTCTCTGCACTGGGGGTCCCGTCCCGCCCCTCACCCGCTCGCGTTTCGGGGAGGGTCCCGTCCCTCCGCGGCTGCGGGACCCTGGGGGTCTCTCCCCTCACCGGTTGGGGTTTCGGGGAGGGTCCGTCCCTCCCCTCGCGGCGGGGGCGGTTTGTCCGTCCCGTCCCTCCCCTCACGCGGGGTTTTGGGGCCGGGCGGTTCCCGCTGTGCCCGCTCCGCCTCACGGGGGTCCCGCGCCGGCCCCGCCGCCCCGGGCTCGCTAACGGCCCCGCGTTCCTCCCTCCCTCCGCCGCCGCAGCGCCGCGATCCCGGAGCTCCGGCGATCTGGACCTTGTAAGTACAAGAATAACCTCAGTAATGTGGTTTTTTAAAGCCCTTCAGGAAGCCCTGCGGGGTCTGAGGCCACTCTGCTCAGGTTTCTGTTGAAAATAGTGTGTAAAAATTTGGATTAAATGGGGTGGAAAAAGTCTACCCGGCGCGTTATTTTTAGGGTGTAGTTCCCTGTTTTCAGGGTTTGGTCGCAGGAAGCTGTGGATTGGGCAGGCCCACGGCTGCGTTGTGTAATTCCTGGTAGTATTTTCCTCACACAGTGAGAGCCACTTGTGCTCCTGGAATTAAGGAAT